ATATTTATTAAATAGAACCTAAATACTCGATTGCCATAACTTCAAGTAAATTTGAACAGTTGGGCCTTCAACGGTAATCACCATTTTAGACATGAAAAGTTATACTGTCACTCCTAGGTGATTTACTATACTAATTAATAGCAGGTAAACTATCAACCATGCTGCAGATAAGGTATATTTTGCAATGTCAAATGCCATAAAAACGAGATCCCATCTTTGGAAGAAGAAAGATATCCAGCATCTCAACCTTCAGCTGCACCATGTTGATTAAACAATCATGGCTCATGCACGCCCCTTTCATTTTCAAAAGGTCTAAGCCAACCAGCCAGACATGCAGACATAGAAATTTGGTAAACAAGCTTCCGTTGTTAGAGGTCGTTAAATGTAAGATATAATTTTCAGACTCCAAACTGGAAATCCAAGCCGTGATAACACATTGAAGTTTCACATTTAGTAGAGAAAATAGAATAATAAGAAACCTAGCAGTAATATTTGACGGTTCCTGGATATTCTGAGGAAATGATGGGAGAATAAAGAAACAGAACGTGACCTTAATTGTCTTCAGGACCCGGGGAAATTACCATTTGAATGTTTCCTAAAGGGCAACCCTACATACAGCAAAAATAACATTGACCAATAAGATGTTCCTCAAGTTCTATGATTTTCTTCAAAGGAGATCTCCCAATAGTGGAAAGTATTGTTAGCATACTACTTCCGTGCTAAACCTAATTAATCTTTTGAACCAGAGGAGATCTCCCAATAGTGGAAAGTATTGCTAGCAGACTACTTCAAAGGAGATCTCCCAATAGCTCAATAAAAAGTCGAGAAGGCAGTCAGACATTGATAGTAAGCATGAGACTACATCAACGAAAAACCTCCATGACAGGACACAGCAACGACTAGTTCCCTTCGATAAATTAACTTTACCCTACAAATTATAAACTAACATGGCAAGAGACAAAAACAAGGATGAATGTGAAATAAGCAACGGGAACATAACAACAATGTACCCTTTGTTATTGACTTGCTGCTCTGAAGTTGATTGATGACACTCAAGCTGAATTGCGCATATCTAGCCCACCCTTTTGGCAGTGTTGAAGAACCAGTAACATCCAGATAGACTGACAAGTAGCCTACGGTTTTCTTCCCACGCGGATACATAAGGATTCGCCTGATAGAACCATGACAGGTGGAAAACCATAAATAGCACAATGCAAAAAGAAAAATTTAAGCTTGTGGAGGTACGAGACAATAAAATACCATTCAAAACAACCCATGACGAAGACATCGGAGTAATGCTTGACAGCATTTAACTTAGAGAAGTTGTCATTTTTCCATGTGAATGTCACAGATGCAGCATCATCCTTGTGAATATCCAGTTCCTCCAATTTCTTTACTCTTCTACAAACTCAAAGTAACAATAACATGTCACCGTGACACCAAATACCCATCAAACTATGATCTATGCCTTATGGTTTGGTGGGCCATTTGGTGGGCCATTTGGAATGCTATGCTTTGGAACGGAAAATCGGAAAAACCTGATTTTGTTGTTGCCAAAGCTATTAGCTAGTGGATGGACTTTCAGAGATCGGTGGCAGCCACCATCTCTCATATCGTTTCCTGTTGGATTAGACCCCACCTAGACTATCACAAAATCAATGTCGATGGTGCGTGGAGGGAGTCCGTGTAATTGGGTGGTGTAGGAATTGTGATTCGGGACCATCGGGGTATGTTTGTAGTAGCAAGATCTGCTATTTTTTAGTACGTTTCCTCGCCCCTCCGTATCGAAGCTCTTGCGGTAGGGGAAGGGTTGTTGTTGGCGGTTCAAAGGGGATTTCTTAATATTGTTATTTGAGAGTGATGCACTCCAAATTGTTTCAGCTCTTCATTGTGAGCTTCCAAATGACTCCCCCATCTGGATCATTGTGGTGGATTCCTAGGTCTTGATGTCTTCGATCTCTAGAGCAACTGTGGCCCATACTCGCCGCCCAAAAAACGAAGTTGCTCACCGTTTGGCACGTTATGTTGTTGCAAGTTCGGTTTCTTGTTCGTGATTTGAAGAACCACCTGATATCATTTCGGATATTTTGTTTTCAGACTGTAATCCTCGAGCTTGAAATGGCAGCTCATCACCTATTGTACTCATTTTATTATCCTATGAATTAATATCGTCTCTTTCAAAAAAAAAAAAAAAAAAGGGAATAATATTACGAAAGCTTTGGCTGCAAGTAAAGTTGGCAGAAGCATCAAAGGAGTTTTCTTAAGCATTTTAACATTTACGGGATGGTTAACAGGATTCCCAACAGATTCTGGATAATATGACCGCTAGCATTTGGGCCTAATAATATACTCCAGTATGTGGGCCGGTATACTATAAGCTACATGTGGGCCCATAGTCCATAAATTTGGGCATTAAAAAGAAAAAAATAAACCCAAGGAAATTCCATGACTCGAAGACACTTTTCAAGTTTTCAAGGGAAACAAAGTTGAAAGTACTTTAGGTTGGCAAATGATTGAAAAAGTCACTTTTGGCCCTTTCAAGGGAGTCCCAAATGAATAATTGCCCTAACTACATTTACATTTTTCACGTTCAAATGAGTCAGTAGGTTTCAATCTTCTCATATTGCATTTTAAATCGTATCAATTTATGTATTTTTCTGTCTGATTTTATGATCCTTCGTTAAATTGATGACATGACAAGCGCGTGAACCATTTCTAAGTTGACGTGGAAGCTACACCCAAAGTACAACCAATCATACAATTTGGTCCCAATGGTGCAAAAATTGCTTCTATACAGCCTAGAAACAGATTTCACATCCACCAAATCATTAATTTAACGTAAAATCATAAAATTAAATAAACTGAAGATATAAATTAACAGGACTTCAAAACTTTAAAGTGCAATTTGAGAAAATTAAAATCCTACTACTCATTTGAAAATCTAAAATCACCTAAAACACATAGAGAGCGTAAATACAACCACACCAACAAAATTGTTTATTCTATATATCTCTCTAGCTTTGTTTAACCCTTCAATCCTTTTGCCTTTCTCATTGGGGTATAAGAATTAAACAAATATGACAAAGCCAGATTCATGATCTAGCTTCACTTTTTTTTACCATCCCTAAACCAGAATGTCCTATTCATGACATAATTATTTATTAGGTTTCGGATTCAGCTACAAATTAGGTCATTGCTCCTATTTTCCTTACCAGTTCCTCCACCATTGACTCTCCCACATACAACAACTCCAACAGAAGTTGAACTCCCAACAAACTTCATCAACCTCCACTTCTACGAGCTTCTTCCATTTCATATATATTCAAACCATGCCTTCCAACAACCTTCAGTATTTTTATACTCTAAACCCAGTGAGTTCGAGAGAAGCGAAAATATGACAGTGAAGGCCTTTCAATGGCTTCTCCTAAGCCATCTCCTAGTGCAGGTTTCTATGGTGTGTGCCAAAGTCCCAGCAATCATTGTGTTTGGAGACTCTACTGTGGATGCAGGGAACAACAACCAGATATCGACAGTCCTAAAGAGCAACTTTCAACCCTACGGTCACAATTTCTATGGAGGCTTGCCTACTGGCCGGTTTTCCAACGGTAGGCTTCCAACGGACTTCCTTTCTGAAGGTTTTATGATCAAGCCGACCATACCTGCATACTTGGATCCTGCCTATAAAATTTCGGATTTTGCTACCGGAGTTTGCTTTGCCTCTGCCGGAACTGGCTATGATAATGCTACTTCTGATGTGCTAGTAAGTCGCATTATGACTTAACCTAGTACGCCTAACGTGCGGCAATGACCTTCGGGCCAAATAACATCGCCTTCAGCCCTAAGGTATGGGGCGGAAGGGGGAGCTCGTAGGTTCAATACCTGATTGATGAACGAGTGAATCTACAAACTGAAAAGATAAAGGAAAACTAAGTTAATTCTGAGTTCTAATCATTTCAATCATCTTATTGCTTTCGTGTCGTTTCAAATCAGAATAGTTATACTAAGTTAAAACAAAGAAATACAGGCTTGTTTTGTTTACAGCTGCTACATTGATCTTGCAGTCTGTGATACCTCTTTGGAAGGAACTGGAGTACTATAAGGAATACCAGAAGAAGCTGCGAAGCTATCTAGGCAACAATAAAGCTAATGAGGTTCTGGGAGAAGCACTTTACCTGATCAGTGTAGGAACTAATGATTTTCTAGAAAACTACTTTGTATTTTCACGCAGACGATCTCAGTTTTCCATTGAGGAGTACCAAAACTTTCTACTAGGAATTGCTGGAAATTTCATCAGAGAGCTTTACCAGCTTGGAGCTCGGAAGGTGGTTCTAAGCGGCCTTCCTCCAATGGGTTGTGTGCCACTGGAGAGAACTACAAATATCCTTGCTGGGGGTGCTTGTAATGAGAAGTACAATCATGTGGCTAGGAGTTTCAACGAGAAGTTGCAGGGATTGGTTGAAAAGCTCAAGAAGGAACTGGTTAAATTTCAACTTGTTTTTTCAGACCCATACGATATTGTCTCAAAAATCATTCGAAACCCAGCCTTTTTTGGTGAGTTCTATGGTCTTGTCTTCACTATGATTCCAATTCTATCGTCACTTACACATTTTGTGCATGATGTAAAAAACAATCTGGTAAATTTCCTATTTTACAGGATTTGAAAATGTAGCAAAAGCCTGCTGCGGCACAGGACTGTTCGAGATGAGCTATATGTGTAATAAGATAAGCCCGTTCACATGTTCAGATCCAAATAAATATGTATTCTGGGATGCCTTCCACCCCACAGAGAAAACAAATGCTATTGTTGCAGATCATGTATTTAAAACTGACCTGGCTCAATTTCTATGAGAAGCACAAGTATAGAATGCGGTGTCTGTAATTTTTGTTCTAGTAGTCTTGTCTGTGGCACCATCCCTTTACTTATATAAAAGATATGATTGTTCATTTTTCCCGAGTCTAAGTTTGACACCGACAGAGATGCCATACAGATGAACTGAGTATTTAAACAAAAACATATTACCTTATAAAACTACCATTAAGGTCTACAAAACCATATTGAATACCAAGTAAAAAGGGCTGGACATGAAAATAGAACATAGCTTAAAACGGATGACTGAGGCTGCAATTACTCATGAAATGGTTTCTTACGAAATAAGGTACCAAGAATTATATAACGCTTCTTAGAGAAAAGATTACCGTGGGGTGAAACCTCAACTTGAAATGGGAATTTTACTTTGGCTCTTTGGGGAAATGGAGCTTGATCAGTGTAGGAAGTTCAGATAACTCAACTTGAGTCTTGCCCAACAAAACACTCTTCAACTTTTCGTCACAATTGACCACATTCTTGTTGTTCGGATCCTATGCAAGCAGATTACTTTTCTGGTCAGAATACAGAAAAAATCTACACCATGAAAGCATTAAAACTGAGTTGCACGGTTAGAATCCAATAAAGGATATGAAGGCAAGGTGAATGCTAATATACTTTTCCCATTTGCTTCCCTAATTCACAAGCAACATCAGCAACAAGAAGTCAAAACGTATTTAGATGACTAAACCCTAAGAACTGCTTCTTAATTGAAATTGAACAGCAAACATCAAGCACCATAACTAAGACAAAGCATCACGGAAAGATTTATACAGCACCATTTTACTTAATAGGATAACATTCAACTGAATGCACTTTAATTTGCAAGAACACACAGATTGCCTATATCACTAAAAAACAAACGAAAAACAAATAGACAAATATAAGAAACCTGGAGATTATTGTCCTTGATGTATGACCAGACACGCATGAAACATCCCAGACGAGAAATCTGAGACTGACCCACGAACTCTCGCAGTGTGGAAGGAAGATTTACGAGGTCAATCAAGTTAGCCAGCTTCTTTGGGTTATCTGTAATGGCCTTCTTCATCCTTGGTGGCAACATTGTTCCCGCTCGCACCTGGTTCAACTCTCTCTCTCTCTCTCTAAATTTGAAAACAGAAACCATTGAGTCAATGACCCAGTAAACTAGTACACTATTCATATACACAACTTTCCCACCACTTGATTACCCAGTTCAAAGAAATGTCTATAATTTGAACATAAACTGCATATTGCACTAAACAGATAAAAAAAATGCATAATTAAGTACCCTTCTTTCTTGTGTCTATTATATAAGTTTGTGCAACCATGCGCATGAGATAAGTTCTCCAAAAAAGCGTTGCACGTAAAAGTGCAATTTCCGTTCTCAGAAACAGAAACAGAGCTTACAAGGAGTTTTATCAAACACCTGGTGTGCTATAAACACCAGCTCCCACAAGAACACACAATCTAAAGAAAAAAAAATAGATAAAAATAATAGTTTAACTCAAAATTGGTATTAAGGAGATCGCAGAGTTAAAAATAACAATGATCGTGGCAGTGATTGGTTTGGTGAGATTTGGTATGGAAAAATTGGAAGGTAATAATTTACCTAAAGGTGCAGAGACAGACAGAGGATGACTAGTCTAATTGCTTCATGCTAGGCATCACCTGTACCTTGACCTGAATCCAGCCAGGCAAATTTTATAGGTTATTATTTGGGAACTTTATTGGAATGCATGAAGTTTCAAGTTCGTATGATCATATATAAAGAGCAATGCTTGGGGTACTCAAAGATGAGCGGCAGTTCTTACTCAAAATTTTCGTATCTGATTTTCAGAATTTTGTGTTTATAATCCGAACGGTTCATGTTATAAATCACTTTGTAAATATCATCCCTACAAAAAATGAATTAAAACTAAGATCATTAAATCGATCAATTGTAGTAAATAGACAAATGGTTTGTAATGTTTTTACTATTTCTGTCTATCTGTTCTCATACAATTCAATGACTAAACGACCATAGTTCTAATTGAATTTTTGTAGACATGATTTTTATAGAGAGATTTATAATATGAATGGTTCTGATCATAAACACGAAAGTCTATAAATAAAAAACAAAGAGTTTTGAGTAGGAGCTTATGCTCATCCTTTAAGTAGTCAAGTATTATTCTCATATAAATATTTCTCTTATTCTCCCTTGCTTTTCTCATCATTTTCTTCACAAGCTATATTGGAGATAGGGAAGGGCTATTCAAGCACACATTTCTATCTCTCACACATTTTTGTTAATTTTATACATTGATTTTCTTCAAATCGTTCAATCTGACAATCAAATTAAGAAAAATATGTGAGGTAAAAATGGATGCATAGATAGCACAACTTTAGAAGAAATTTTTCAAAATATTCGGAACATATGTTGTGTGTGTGTTCACTATATATTTTTATATATTATTATATTAGTATAGCTTGAAGTGAGACAGATCCATGGAAATGTAACATCATGTGACAAGTTTTTAATACACAGAGCAAATTTGTCGCAATACTTAGAGGGGTTATCAGGTAATGTGAATTCAAGACCTCATGAGCAAGAAGGTGCTTAATGGCCCAACCTAGCCAGACCTAAACCATTAAGATTGGCTTAATTGTGTTTTGTGCCAAAACACTTTGACCCAATTCGAGCCACGGTGCATGTCGTGCTTGTCCCAGCCCACAAATATTTAAACTGGTTGGGTTCATGTTGCGTTGGGTTGGCTCAACTTGTGGTACATCTATACAAGGGTAACGACTTGATTCTATGAACTCCCAATTATAGCATGCAAATGTGAGGCATATAGTGATCAACAAGTTTCTTTGGATTAAAATTGGCTTGCAATGATTGAAATGAATATCGGCACTAAAAGCATGCTTGCTACATTAAGGACACCGGAATAAGGTTCTCGTAGGCCTTAATGTACTAAGCATTGTTATAGATGGATCTTGGCTTGGTTCTAAAGTTGTCTCCAGCAAATTGCTTCCATAGTTTTCAGGGTTCCGTCATACCATAGAGATCGAACACTGAAATAAAGCTCCCGTACTTGAAAGGTCTTTGTATCAACAAAAAAAGAAAAGAAAAAAGAAAGGCCTTTGTAAAACCTTGTTAGGCAGGTAGTAACCCAACAAGTCGGACTATATAGGATGAAAGTAACATCTGATAGGAAGATCAAGATGAGTTTGCAAAAGTAGAGAGAGGGTGTTTGGGCCTAAAATAATATTGTTGGGCTGAGTGTAGGTTTGTGCTCGGCCCAATGCTGTGTCAAAAATACTATGGGTTGCCTAATGATTCCAAGCCATTTAGCAGGGACGGTCAAGTCCTATCGCAAGAAGGAGTAGTTCAAATAAGCAAAGAGGGTCGAGGAAGTCCTGGTGCAATTAGGATTCTCGACCAACAATGAATGAAGCCCCAAAAAGAGGTGAGTTCAAAGTCCTAATGGGAGTAGGGTTGTTCGAAGCAAAGTTGGAACGAAACAAGAACTCCCAATCCAGATAGGAGTTTAATTTGATCTCAAGAAGGAGTTAGTGCTATAAATACAAGAAATCATGCAACAATTGAGGACCTTCAATTCAACACACAATTGCCCTGCGCAAAACCTCTCAAACATCTTGAGATTTTTCATTTTCTTTTTCTCGCCGACACATCTTCAGTTTGGATAAACAACACTATGGAGGCAACCGGCGAACACCTTCAGTTTGGATAAACAGCACTGTCGCCGTAGAATCAGCCGATCGAGGAGCACCTTCAATTTGGATAAACAGCACTGCGTCGAGGCCGACTGGTCACCTATCCAAGTCTCGGTCAAGAAGGATTTTCGGATCCTTATTGGCAGAGGTCATCTTATTAGCCTTCTCGGCGAAGTAAAGTGTTACGATTTACAACATTCGATGTACTGGACGCCGAGTGATTTTATGATTGGATACTCACAAGTGAGTTTTAGCGTTCGGCATTCTGACGGCCGAACCACATTTACCATCAAGACATACATTACCTTTGAATACTTGTGTCCGTACAGTCTGGTGTCGATTCGACGTGCTTATACACTTACGAATATAATCACGGTGATCGAATCGGGCGCCGACGATTTGTGAACTTCGCAGAACTAGCAGCCTTGTCTTCAGGTCTAGAATCCGAAGACCGAGAGTGTTCCTTCCTCGATCGCAGTCGCAAGATAAAGAAGTCAGCAATGCGCTCAACGCGTCATCAACGAATTTCACTCCTTGGTCGAGCTCAGTCGACGAGTTGGCACACCCCGCATTCAACCGAATGACGTAGTTAGCTTATTAGTTACTCAACCTACGTGCCACGTAGACTTTTTAATTTTTAGGGTCAACAGACGGTTTCAAGTTCAAGGCTTAAAGAGAGAGAGAGAGAGAGTGAGTGTTTAAAGAAACACATTAAATAATTTCGTAGTGTCAGAGATCAATAATATAGATTATTTTATTCAAATATATATTTCTCACTATATATTGTGATGTGTGTGTGTGTGTGTGTATTAACATTGCTTGAAGTGAGATATATTCCAAAGTAACATCATGTGATGGCGTTTTTAATATACAAAACAAATTCTTCTCCTGATATTGAGAGATGGGTGATGTGAATTCAAGACCTCAAGAAGCAAGAAGGTGTGGAATGACCCAACATGGACCATTAAGATTGGCTCAACTGTGTTTTGTGCCAAAAACCCTTGACCCAATCCGAGCTACAGTGCATGTCATGTTTGTTCCAACCCACAAAAATTTAAACGGGTCGGGTTGTTCTGTGTTGGGTTAGCTTGACCTGTTGTATATCTCTACGCAAGAATAACCACTTGAATTTATGAACTCCCAATTACGCATATGTCTATTTCCTTTCAAGGCATGAAAAAATATGGAGCTAAGAAGCTTTATTAAGATTCACTTGACCTGCATTAAGCAAATAGATACATATTCCTCATTGTTCCGATAATTAACCAATAAAGAATTCTCTTATTGTTTTTTTTTTTTTTTTTAAGAGCCTTTTTATAGCCTAAGCTTTTTAGTATTAGAGCGATTCACTTATCAACTTTGGTCACCTCCATTTTTTTCTCCTAGAATCTAAAAAAGAATATTGTTTTTGTAGTTTGACAATACCTTTTCACTTCGAAATATCTCTAACATTTGTTAAAATACAGCTACCTCCAGTTGATTCAATCTGAGTTATGGTTCGTATGGTGCTTGGTCCAACCCACAAAAAAAGAGCATTGTATAGTTATGGGCCATCTTTAAACAAGTCGGACTCGTGATATGTTGGGTTTCGACCTCTTGCACATCGTTATGCGACAGTAATAACTTGAAAATAAGGTACCTTGAATCTATGAGGCCGAATTATAGCATGCAACTGTGAAGCTTATAGCAATCATTAAGTTTCTTTGGGTTGGGGTTGTGTTGTGCAGGGCTTGCTCGGTGTTCAGATGGGTTTGGGGGCTAGATAAACCTTAATGTTTCAAAAACTGACTCTCAGTACTAAAGCAGGAAAACAACTTTATGCAGTTTCTAGTTTCACTAGTTTGGATGAGGCATTTCCTTCAGTTAGTCTAAACTTTGTTGGTGGTGCATCAATGTTGTTGAAACCAGAAGATTACCTTCTGAATACCACTTATTCTCATGGTGTTACTTTGTTGGAGGCTCCTTTACAGGAAGCTTATAGAATGTATACAATTTGAGAGATATTGTTCTTAAAGATAAAATTATCGAGTATGATTTAGTGCAGCAATGGTTGAGATGCGCCAATCGGGACAATTTGTTGCCCTTGAACATCAGTGTTACTTTTGACAAAGATGAAGGTCGTAAGAAGCGAAACCGGAACAAGGGGATCAAGTGGTTGCTAATGGGGAATGCTCCTGAAGATTTTTTTCTTTTTTTTCATATTTTTTTCATAATGTCGTCCACTTATATAATAACACATAAAAATGTAACATCATGTGATGGTGCTTCTAGTACACACAACAAATTGTTACAAATTGAGAGAGGAGCAATGTGAATTCAAGATCTCGGGAGCAAGGAGGTGTGTAATGGCCCAGCTTAGCCTTACCTGGACCATTAAGATGGGCTCAATTGTGTTTCGGCCGAAATTTTTTGACCCAATCCGAAATATAGTGTACCCTGTGCTTGTCCCCATTGGAGAAACCCTAACAGTCACAACCCACAAAAATTTAAACGGGTCAGGGTCGTGTTGTGTTGGGTTAGCTCGACCCATGGTACATCTCTACGCAGGGATACCGCTTGAAAATATGTTATCTATAAACTCCTAATTATAGCATGCAATTGTGAGGCGATTAATAATCAACAAATTTTTTTGGATTATAATTAGGAATGGGCAAAATATCTTAGGCATGGGTAGCTACAGTTATCCATCCATTTAAACTACAGTTATGGAAACCGTTTAAGCAAATGCCAATTACAGGTATACCCATTTACCCGTGAAATATAAATAAAAGAGTAGCAACCGCCTATACAAACAAATACTTGTTTAACCTTTTTTTTTTTTTTTTTTTGTCAAATTAAAAACCCTAAAAACTATTCGACGACTAAGATTTCTCCTATCGCAGCCCTTCTCTCTCATGTCCATTTAACTTGGAATGATAAGAGAATATTGTAACAAAATTGCAAATGGTTTTATTTCTTTGTCGAACAATTTAAAATAGTTTTCATTTTTCTTTTTTTATGTACTCAAAAATCTGAAGGACAGATGACCGACAATTGGCAAGTTCCATTTCATCCCCAACCCATAAAA